CCAAGCAGCATATTTAGGCATTCTAACTTAATGCACCTCAGTAAAACCTTGTTTGTCTAATGATTTAATGACGCACTCCTAATGTTCATTGCATCGTTCGCTCAACAGCAATTGCGTTTGCGCCATGCCAACAAATGCATCAACATAGTGAGTTCAAGTTTGCGAGTTCACTTTTTTGTGTCACTAACTGATCGCTACAAACCCGGGGTTGATTGTGTGAAGTTTTTCGATGCGTCAGTTGTGTCTAAATTAGTGTTTGCTTCCAAATTTCATGGTTAAATTTATCTGAATTTTAAATACAAGGCAGGACAAACGGTGCACACGCTGCTTGAAAGAATCACCAAATCCTCTCTGTAAGACAACCATGCGAATTAGTTTGATTTGCAATCATTACTTCATTTTCGTTTGTGTTTACAGTCATAATGATAACAGGAGTACTCCTAAAGGATGGTATCCCATTACCATATATACGTAAAGAGGTAGTGGAAGACCATCCATCTGCTAGAGAGCTTGAAGACGTCTGCAACAAGGTAAACAGTATTGCATTGAGTTTTTGATTACAAGCGCATAGTAATCACATTAACGTAAAAATACTCTACGAATAGTATGCATTTTACGAATCCTGAAGGCTAATCACTCCTTCCATACCACACACGGATCTAATGCCTGAAAAATTGGTCTATGCATAAACACTTGTGTACCGACTGCTCATTGTAAACATGCCACGCACTGATAAGCATAATTGCTTATGCTATTACAGATGCGCGCCGCAATTTCTTCCAAGACATGCGTGCCATACCATAAGGTCGGATGTGGCTTTTCGTTATTGATTGTACCTCCTAATCGAACTCACGTCATTGTCAACATAGATAATAAAGGAACTGCTAAATTGCACAAGTTTGTAAGGGAAATCTTTTTGGAACTTGAAGGACGGAGAAATTATTCAGACATCTTGGACTTAAAACTGCGACCACACTACGGTAAATTGGTCCCAATCGTTGACATGATATTACGAAACTTGCTTTTTGTGCCAAGATAGCTATATTCGTAAAACAATTGTGTGGTAATGAATAACGAGTACATTCATAAATATGCCAGATACTCCGCGGTTGTCAATCGCTTAATACGAGTATATTGAATTCAGCGACTTCCACAATGTACTCAGGCAATATAAGAAGTTATATTTCCATATGCATTTGAATTAGTATCGTTTAAGCGAGGTAGCTGATATCACTGTTATTTTACAGCGACTATCGTCGGTGATGGATACGCAAGTAAGTTATTCTACCATACTGATATTCGTGGCAATTAATGACAGCCAAACTACACAGGTTGGTGCACACTCTATTACTCCCCATTTAATCTCGCTCCTGGACGTAGTGGGTACCACCGCAGTCGCAACCCGGCAGGCATTATCCTGTGAGGACTGACGCGACAATACAAATTAATGGATTTCACATCGTTCATCCGAATGATCAGTTCAAAACAGCTGGTTAATCTTGCGATTGTAAATCACCCACTCGCCTGTATCACAAGTGTCAATGTCCTATTGGCGCTAAAACATTTTGGCCAACATAACGGCGGTTTTCACATAGGTTGTAAACGTGGCCCAGCGCCGAAATATGTTACTGAAGGAAAAACACAAGTAAATACATTCACCTACACTTTGACCAGTAAACCACAGGCATTAATCACATCATAATGATAAAATCCACCGTTTTACGTGAAATTTGACATGCGTGTAAATGTCCAACTCCTGATGCTGTCTATCTACTTCAGCCATTCGCATTTCTGTGGGATTATTGAAAGAAGATTTAACAAGCGAATGGCATGGGGTATATGGCAGTGCAACTGAGGTGATAAATATTGTGGAGAAGACGTGCTCGAAAGTAAGCAACAGTTTGGAGGCCTTGAAACTGCAACCAAGAAAGCGCAACGTCAACTCGAAAATCAGAATAGACCCGCCATAATACACATTCAATCCGCAACTTAGATCAACCGGCAGTTTGTTTGCTAGTTTTCTATTGTTTATTGTTTGGGCGCCATCGCTACATTTTGAATTACAATACATGGCAACCATTGACTGAACCTGAACATTTGACAAACCAGCAAACTTGAATTCGCAGAAAACCCACATGTGAATCATTGACACTTTGTGACCTCATTTACCATATTTACACCTACTTTAATAATTTATAAGCCATGGCGTTCGTTATTAAATTATTAGCAACATTAATTAAGCTGATTGAAGCATCTTTGTGGCGCAATTCATTAGAAGAACGCGGCATGTACAGCTTTGTATGCCCTCGATTTTAACCATTGTACAACGTCGCATGCCTTTAGTAACCCACGAGTGGACTTGTTTGAGCACAAGATGGATTCATAAATAAAAGATCAAGAAAATGCAGAAAAAATAACCAATTTATTCTAAATTTCACATACATAATCCAGTATATCTCAAATATGATCAATTCTGTTGTAATGACTTCATTGTACTAATGAAATAATTGAATTTACTTCACTGTTTCTCTTGAATCTACAAGTACGAGAAATTGGCTAATACGGAGAAAAGATCGGGCTACAAGAACTTTACTTGCCTTGTAACCGGTCCACGCCGGCACTATGTAAAAGGCGTCTTTTTCTTGCGTTTCGAATCGAATGAAGCGTATGCTATCCCATTAACGAAAGAGGCCTTGGAAAAGCGAATCATAACTGGAATCGGTCAGGACATCACTGGCTTGTTAATTAAAGTCCTAAATGCTACATGTTAATGCCATTAATAAAGACATATTGGAAATCAATATTCGTGTGTGGACGTATGGTGGGCATAAAATTTGAAATTGTAGAAGCTATCATAATATCTTATCATTGTAAAATATACTATTTGTCTTACGTTAATGCTTGTTCACTTATCGTGACCAGCAGAAGTATTATCAAAGTAAAATCCCATTTGTTCACAGTATATATATATACCACAGTATGGTTGACATGCCAAAAACTTCCATTTAAGTTAGAAGTTTACATAAAACAAATAACGAATCATCTGAGTCGATGAGGTTTCCTTTTGGTTCAGTTAAATAAACGTTGAATAACTTGCACGAATTTCGACGAATCTTTTCCAGTAACCAGTATGTTACGCCACCTTCCTATTGATTGTATGGCTCGCCCAGTTGTTCTATCCATTCAACGGATATGATTATGCTTTGTCTTTAGTCTCCACATCGATATGCACCATGTACTAATTGCCATTCAGCGTCGCTTATGCTGCATCTGCAGCCGCGGACTTCAAGCCACACTCCATAGGGTGCTCTACTCCCAATCACACTGTTGTCCACGCAGTTGTCTCAAATGCATTCGATTTCTTCTGAGAGTTTTCCCTCCAACAGTTAAATCGGACAAAATTGCACCGAGCTTTTGGGTAGCCACATCTTCCTTCTACCGCTCTAGACCACTGTGTAATATAGTTAAACCATAGGTACTATAGGTACCACAGTTAAACCCACACTTACTCCCATTCTATTAGCTGAGGTAGTAATCGTGCCCCACGGTCGTAATACAGTTTCTGGGTAATCATTGTTATTCCTAGACTCTTATGTTGCCTCTCATGCTGTGGGGAAACTGAACGCACAACTGTAGCGGATGCCGGCATCAGCGTTCGCGTCCTTAGACTGTATGGATCAGTACTAAGCTCAAATCGATACCGCTTCTGGAATTTTGTGGTCCGTCAATAGAATGTGGTACGGATATTCGCGAGTATCTCTAGTCTCTGATAACATTAGCTTGCCCTGCTTCACTGCCGAATTTACCTTTCCTTTCTTTTGAATTTATTATGGGTTGATTTGCTGGTGCATGCATTCCCACTATGTTGCGTAATTATGGAAAGCAGCGTTTGAAAACTGGGAACCATGACCATAGACTTGCACTTTCGGTATTACTTCCCGCTCGATTTGACATCTGATCTCCAGCAAACATTATTGAAATCCACAGTGATTAAGTAATCTCGCTCGTTGTCACAGAATAAATTCACTCCGTCTTTTGCTACCATCGTTCAAGGATTCATACAGCATCATTGTTTCTTTCGTTTATCAGATTTCGTGTGAACTTCTCGCCTTGATTTGACTTGTAATTCCTGGGCGGCAGAGCAATTATTTTGCTTGGTTAATGGTATAAGTGGCAACCAGTTGAACGGTGACGGGATTCATATATGGCTTCCCTTTAAGATCTGACCATCATGGATAGTGTTAATCCAGAAAATTTCTTGTGATTATTAGTTCCTACAGCAGCTGTTTCTTTGTCTGTCGCTGCCTATTTAGGTGAACGTCTGGCAAAGCTGTATATAGGTTAACTTCTCTTGTGTGATACTTTATTGCTTTAAGTCAAATTCCGTCACCGCATGATGCTGTATTGGGTTTACTGCTTCGAGCTTTTCCGGTTTGCGCTCGACCACCGTCAGATGAGTTCTTGACAGCCTTTCCGCAACGAACAGCTTCGCATCAGTCACGTACACAATATCCAAGTCGTACATATGAAGCCAGATAAGTGTGTGTTGCATACGATGAGAAACGGTGTGTGGCGGTTTACTGGATATCGGCACAAGCTGTTGTTTTATTATACACGGTAGTCATACTTCTCTAAAATAAAAGGTTGCACCGATCCATGGCATAGACTATCACGAGGAGCTTATTTCAAATCTACGTATAGTGCCGCTTGGTCACGGTGGATGCTCAACTGCAGAAATCCAAAGGTTAGCATTCTGTAAGATAGAAGTACGTATTTGGTCCTGACTAATGTCCCACTGTAACGTCGAAGGCTGCGCTGGATCGTTATATCCGAGTACGGGCACGTTGCTGATGAGGTATTTTTCAGCTGCAAATGCGGTTTTCTGTTCTTTCTTTAACTCCGCTTTAGTCCTTTGTGAAGTAGCTTCCTAATCGGCGCCATGAAAATAGATGTCTTGGCATGAAACAGCTCAAATAATTCACCAGATCTACATACACCTTACAAAATATGAGAAAAAAGAAACCGATCGAAAAGGCAAAATAGATACTTTGTAGGCAGATGGACAGTTAGGATGGTTAGTTACATCAAAACCACCTAGTAAGATTTAGAGCTTGGTGGAGGGTGCGTCTGGATTATACAATTTGGCGAGCTGGACGGCGTTGTCATATCTACCGACGAAGGTCGGAGCCTGTGATAAGTAAATGAATGACGGAAGCTCGCACAAGTGATGTTTGCCTTAACGATATCAAAAACGAACTAGAAAGCCAAAATGAAGCGGATACGACGGCAAACTTCTAAACCGGCACTCACGCGCTAAGCACGGCAATGATTTTGTATTTGCGGAGCGTCATTTGAACGCAGCGGTGCGGATAAAGAACGGTTCCCTCTGGGTTTATTGTGGTCGGTAGTCGTTAGCGGATGAACAGTAAATGTAAACTTTGTGTATACCTCTAGCTTTTCGAGTGAATTGCGACTGATCAAAACTGGCAAATTTGCGATTCATTAGTGTAATTAACATAAGTCATTACTTCTTCCGTAGCTTTGGGCCGCGTACAAAGCGGTGCGAGTATCCAGGCGGTTGAGTGCCTTAGACAAGTTCAAACAAACGCTGTTCAAGTACTGCAGGGTGGTATGGCATTAACGGTGTTTCTTTTCCAGGAGACAAGAGGACAAATTGACTTTAAATTGCAAACCACAACGAACCGTTCAAATGTGTTTAGCTATGATGCAAATGAAAAGTCCACATTCATTATGGTGACGGCCTAGTTAAAAGATGATTCTCAACTATACATCAAAAGCATTCATGTCGCTGTCTGTAGTGCTGCTAAATTGTTCAGGGATAAGTCGCTGACTACGTCGCTGCTGCACACAACTCATTGGAAGGTAATTTAAGTCGTCAAAGGAAGCTTATTCCACCTATACAGGCGCATTTACAGCACTTCAGGAAATATTGCTGATTAAAATACAGCGAAGCATCAAAGTGAAAGCACATACTGAAGGCGGTACAAGGAAACTAGTACACCTTCATTCAAGCATGCGGCCTTCCATGCATGCGGCCATGTTTTACTGACGATTCTGTCATGGACTTGATCAAATCGTATAATTTCCAGATCCATACCAAAGCCAAAGCCAGAAGTGAGTTACAGTGTCGTTGTACAAAGACTAGAGCAACAATTTCATACTGAACTCAACTATATCCTGACTAAAACGAAGCTACAGCAAACGTGTTTTTAGATCGCAAATCTGCAGCGTGTAGTACCATATTGATTGCGCATTCAACTGTATTGCGACAATCAAACAGACAGACTGATAGATTTGCATTCAGATGCAGGCAAAAGGATCGATAATCAGTCGGCAGTACACTACAAATATCTCATAGCCGAGATTCACTGCGTACTACTCATGAATCCTTGAGTGTCAACACACAATTGCTAACTGTGCGAACGTCAGTTTATGTAAGGCAACAATTAGGGTGATCAAAATAGGCTTTGAATGTGTGCAGTAAATTTTTTTTAAATGTTAGGCGAAAATTCAAAAAAGGTGGGAAAGGAAGAAGGGACCTGCTTAAATAATAAAAACATATGTAGCGCGGTATTTCACTTGATACGACCTGGTAGGATAATATTAGAGCTGTAGTTTCGACCTTGTAAAAGAAGTAGAATTAGTGCTGCGACACCGAAGGCAAAACACAGGCAATACGAAAATTTCATTCAAAAAAACAAAGAAGGAATCTAAAGTAGGCATCAGCAACAAAGTTCGGCTATACAGCTCGAGGTCTACTAAACAATTTGGTAAAGGGTCTCAAAAGAAGATTCATATCGGATCAACACCGAGAACATCGGGCGACGTAGTGGTAGTCTGCCTGCTATTCTGAATAAAGCAAATTTTAATCGCCTCTCCGTAATAACATCGTGAAGAGTGACGCAAATCCGATTGCGCAATTCAAGTGCATTTAAATGAATCCAGTCTACTTGGAAAATGACTGGTGGAAGCGAAGCCACTTGGGCAAGTTGGTGGAAAAGACCTAGCGGACTGCACTCAACGGGGACATGAATGTGACGCCGAACGAGAAGCCAAGTCTGTGGCAGTGTAGAATTGAAATGCCTATTGTATGTGCGTGTGTGTGTGCTAACCTAGTAACCCATTCTTCCTTTGCAATAAAGCTAGGGCTTTCTCGTTGCTTCATTTTCAATACACTCGTACTGGCTAGAATGTTTTGTAAATGATGAAAAAGTTGATTTCTACTCTGGACGAAAACTTGATGCATGCATGAAGATGTTTGTTCAGGATAAAATTATGGGGCAGTTTTCTCCTTAGTTCAGAGCAGCACTAAATATGTTCAAGGGATAAAAGCGCTTTTAAGATGTCAGCGGAAACTTAATAGGAAACGGTATAACCTCTGAGAAAGATAAAACTTTCTGCAAAAGTTAGAATGCAAGCAATGGGAACGGAACGCTTTGTAAGCCTTAGACCATAAAATTAGAGCTTTCTGGCATCGTAAACATTTTAGGAATATGTGTAAAATTTGTAAAAACTGTTGTGCTGATGGAAGTTAGAGGGAATGCATTAGTTAATTAGGACCTGAACGCAAGACTGTGTTTGTGTATCTCCTGGGTGCTGAGTTATTCGCGGAAATGTTTTCAGAGAATTGTCTTAGGGGACCCCACAGATCACTGTGATCTTGGTTGCATAAAACAGTCAGAATGTACAGATTGTTTAACCTCCTTTCTTTAGCTTTATAGCCACGGACAGTAGTTTAACACTGTCTGAG